GCTGACGTTCCGGATGGTGGCCCAATGTAGCTATGAATGAGATTCAATTTGAAGGCAGGGGTTTTGAGTTTGGGACTCTTGGACTCGGGGGAAGGCTGGAACCAAGCTCAACGGCGACAGTGGAGGGGGGGGGGAGTCCTGAAGGTTGAGATGTCACCTGGGAGTGGGGGGTCAGATAAGGCTGGGGGATGCTCATTCTCTCCCCTCTGTTCAGCGCGGTGGCCTGCGAATTATCAAAGTTCCTGCGCTCTCCAGGCGGGGACCCTAAGTGAACCTCACAAGCACTCCCACACCTGGGAAGCAATGTGCGTGTGAGGGTGTGGGATGGCACCAGCAGGCTTCAAAAAGTTCCAGAGGAAATTCCAAACACCCATGACCGTTTTTCCCATTTTGAGCACAGCAGTAAGAAGGCTAAGCAGTGGCATTGTCAGGGGCTTAGTGCCGAGCCGAGAGGCCGGGATTCGCTAATTCCCACGGAGCCCCTCAGCCCCTCGGGCTACCCCATTGTCTTTGAAGCCCAGAAGAAAAGGGGTGGGACCTTTTCTTCCATCCCCAGCTTAGGTTTAGGGTGGGATGACGGTCCCCAGGCTCCAGAGGAAGTGCTCCGCCCTGTGATTAGAGCGGCCTGGGGAGCCAGGCCTCCGGGATTCCTTCCTGCCCGCCGTCTGGTCCCTGACCTTGTGTGCCACACCACTGCCCGTTCCCAGCCCCCAGCGTCCTGGTTTCCGGTCTGGGCGAGGTCATAGTGCCTCTTGGTCCTGGCCCACCATCACTGTCTCTCCCCGCCTCTGGTGGGCCCCTCGGACTCCAACTTCACGCTTTGGCTAAAACTTCACATTTATTGACGGAGCAGCAGCTCACAGAGTCAGCTCGGGCGTTGGGCGGCCGGCCAGTTCTCCGAGAAAGTCTCAGTTACGCTTGCTGCCTCAACAGTAGACAGGGTAGTAGATAGTTCGGCTCACTCTGCTGTGTCCGCACAGTGTCCCACTCCAGTCGTCAGCTTTTCTGGGACCACGGTTTGGAACCTACTCCAGGGGGGTTGTGCCAACAGCTATCCGGGCTGCCAGGTGCTGGACTCCGCGTGGGTTGGGCAGGTCTGCATTGTATGTTCATGTAGTTGTTGCTTCCAATCTGCACGTCTTGGCACCCGTGTAGAACAATAGACGTTGGCTGTCCTAAAAGAGAAATTAGGAGATATTAGGAGAGGCAGCGGCACCTCGTGTTCACTCTGGGGAAATGCAAGCATGGGGTCTGACCCAGCTAGTGGCTGGCTGAGCCAGTGCCCATGACCTTCCCCCTTCAGGCAGCCCCCCTAGAATTGGGGTTTGCAGAAGCTTAAGAAAAGTGGTAACAGACATCCGAGACAATGATATTTGAGACTCTTCCATTCAGAGGCCCTCTAGGCTGATGAATGGAACTTGGATTGGGGGGGGGGTAGTTGACCTTCAAGCACTGGTGCTGGAAAAAAAATCAGAAGGCTCAGGGGCAAATCCAGATTTTGCTATTTGATCTCAGTGGGACCCTCTCCAAGTGGGCATCTGTATCCTAATTTATTAAAGGAAGGGGTTGAAAGAGTAATTGCTGCTTCCACCCCCACCCTCACGCCCCCAAATAGTTGGACCTACAGGTTTCTAAGAAGCAGCTAGAGGAAGGATTGAGCAGGAGAAAGGTGGGTTGGAGAGTGGGTACCTGGTACTGGATTTGGTCCTGAGATCCCGTGGGGCCTGTTCTTGTCAGTTTTCTCAGCCTCCTGCAAATTCAGAGCACTCAGGGCCCCTCCAGGGGTTCGATTCCTGAATGACTCACCCCATCAGCCCCCAATGTTTCACTGGGAAATGAATAGGATTCACAGGACACTCCAGCCCATCCCTCAATCTCACCAATGACTCACCCAATTCCCTGGGTTCCCAGGACCTGGGGGCCAAGTTGGGATGGGGTTTGGCATTTGCCTTCTGAGAGGTAAGGGCTCTGGGGTTTGGGAAGGCTGGGCAGTGGAATTGGAAGATGCTTCTGCGATGATCTTGGTACCCGTAGCCGGCTCTCCATGTGGCCAGACCTTCTCAGCAAGGCTTGTGCTCTTCTTTGGAAGAGGCCCCGAGCTCTCCTCCAGGTGCAGGTTGCTCAGGTTCTCAGAGACCGTGGAATAATCCCCAGAGCACAGGCCATCTCTTTCTGCCCCTCTTGGGCCTGGCTCTGGGGAAGAGCTCCCTAGGTCAGGTTCCCTGTGTTCAGAAAGAAACTTCTTCACCTGCACGAACCGGAGAAGCCTAGCGTTAACGAGTGAGTTGCCTCTCGGGCTATATCTACTGTCTGGCAAGTTGAGAGTTGGTGGCGGTGGTGAGTGCAGAGGAATAAGGTCGAAAGGACAATGGTAAGTGGGGAGTCATTGGGTGGCAAAGGGAGCCATGGTGTGCCCTCCCTGACCCTCTCCTGGGTTGGGGTTCACCTCGGAGACAGCAGGATCCACCGTTTCCTGCACCAGTGCAAAGATATCACCAATTTTTGATCTGCAATCTGGAGGGACAGCAGAGCGGGTTGCAGGTGAGCCAGACGTAGTTCTAAGACAGACCCAGCTCTGCCCCTGCCGCCTGCCGAATGACCAACTCACCCTGAAAGGAAGGCCTGTCCGCAGGCTGATGGCTCCAACAATTCTCTAACAGTTCCTTCAACTTTTCCAAGCGTGGAGTGTTGGGCCCAGGCTTCGGCAGCTCCGTCAAAGAGGGCCGGTTCTGATCCACACTAACGGACACCGGCAGCAGGGATGGGCAGACCACTACTTGTCGGCCAGTGGGGAGGGGGCGGGGAGGGGGAGCAGGAGAAAGGACAAGGGGGTGTGGTTGAAACTGAAGAGGGGTGGGAGTAGGGCCCTCTGAGATAAGCAGGAAGGGGAAGGCTTGGAAGCTTGTGATTTGTGGGAGAAGGGCACCCACCAGGGGTTTCAGAATGCCTGCATCTGTCTAGAGTCTTACCTTCGGCCTCCCTTCCAGCTAGCACTGCCCACATCAGGATTCCAAAGCTGCAGAGAGGAAAACCCAAGGTACCCCATGCAGCATTCCTCTCCCATGGGCCAGGCATCCCTTAGACGAGTCAGGGAGGCGGAGAGCGCGCAGGTATAGCTGGTACAGCTGTCCGTACCTGTACACATCACTCTCCTTGGAGGGTTTCTGGTTTATATCAGCCAACAGTTCTGGGGCTAAGTAGTGTAGGGTGCCCCCTGGCTCACTGACACTTCTCCCGGACATTGAGCCCCTCTGAAATGCTGCCAAGCCGAAATCTGCCAGCTGCAAGAGAAGAAAGAGGGGTGAGGGGGCATGCAGAACTTTGGTCCCAGCAGGTAGGGCCCCAGCCATATTACAAAAAGGTGAGGAGGAGCAGAGGAAGGGTGGAGCAGAGGAAGGGTAGGATGGGTGGCATCCTTGCGATAGAGTTCAGACGCTGGGTCTAGGTTGGCCGGGATCTCTGGAAGACCTGGGCTGTGGCATTGATGGTGGTGGGTGAAGGTTTTAAACTCCTGGCAGGGAAGGGGTTGACGCTTCTGAATGGTTTGTGGCCCTGGCATAGTCCTGTGTCCAGAGGGAGAGGCGGAGGGTATCCGACAGGACCAGGCAGGCCCCGAGTCCAGTGGGGTGGAGTGGTCCTGCGACAGGGCTGAGGCGTAAGTGGACTGACCTTGGCGTGCAGCTCTTGGTCCAGCAGGACGTTGGACGGCTTGAGGTCCCGGTGCAGCAGTTCCGGGACCAGGCTGTGCAGGTAGCACATGCCAAGCGCGACCTCGTGAAGCAGGCGGCACAGGAGCGGCCAGGGCCGAGGGCACTGGGGCTGCAACAGCCCGGACAGGGAGCCGTTCTCCATGAAGGCCGTCACCAAAGCCGGTCCCGACACATTGTCCCACTGCAGTTCACGAATGACTCCTAACAGGAGCAGCACGTACTGGCTTCGAAGCTTTTTCATGACCTCCACTTCGGAGAATATCGATTTCCTACAAGCGAGGAGAGGGCTGTCGAGTCTGGCAGGGGTCCTGCATAGACCCCTGCTGTCCCTATCCAAGCCCCTGCTGTGGCTGGGGGTGGGTGGGGCAGGGGACTCACAGCAGGCTCTCGGGATCACTCACCAGTTCACGATCTTGACCGCTACATCGCAGCCCCACTTCCTATGATGCACCCGGAACACAGTGCCGAACCCGCCTTGACCCACGAGCCTCGGCTTCTCCAAGTCCGCGCTGGACACCAGGGGCTCGTAGGCATCCATCGGCCTGCAAGAGGCGCCCCGTCCACCATCAGCCCTCCTTGGCCCCGGGGCCCAGCTGCTGCTTCCTGCCGGCGCGCCCCGGGGAGCCCGCTCCGGATCAGGGCGCATGTGCGCGGGGGCTGGACGGCGCCGGAGACGGGGTCCGCACACCCCACTCACCCTAACTTGGAGGAAGACATCGCGCGGGAAGGTGCGAGAGGCTACTGGAAGTGTCAATCCGCTCAGACGGGGTGACTTCTCCGGCCGGGCGCTCGCGTCAATCTCCAGACCTGGCACGGCTTCTATGGCGCGGATCTGCACACACTTCCTTCTCCCCGGGCGGGGCGGGGCTGGAAGCGGGTGCACTGTGACTTCTAACTGGAGCTTGCGTCGAATGGGTTTTCTTCCCGAGCTCCCATTTGCCTGCCTGGTGCGGGTTCAGGGTCACTGGGTCCTTAGGGTGTCAGGAAAGGAGCCCTCGCCTTCCAGGAACCCACAATCAGCTTCCAGCAGCCACTGTGGCTGTGGGGGTTTCTGATCCCTGGTTGAACCCTGAAGGTGGAGCTAGGTACGTGCTGGGGGTGAACTGTCAAGGCAGCAGTTTGAATCCATGGGTGGTGGGCGGAGGGGCGGGGCTCCTTAGGAGAAAGATGGGCTTTCTGCTCCCAGACAGATGGACAGCCGTAGAAACGCAACCGGGCCCTTCTGTCCTAATGCGCTCACGAGGGGTCAAAATCGGACTCGATGGCTGTGGGTTTGGGGTTTGTTGGTTGGTTTGGATTGGTCCGATTGTTGTGAAGGAGAAGGGGAGAGAGGCTGCTCTTCCAGTTTCCATTCTGATCTGTTGTTTGAAGAAGAGGTTCCCACAGGCCTTTTGTGCCAGTCAGGATGTGGGTTTACAAATCATCTGCTTAAGATACAACTTCATGGACTAAAGAGAGAAACGCGAACCTTTATAATAGTAAATAAACTTCCTGGTATTTGATTTGAACACTAAATCTTACCGAGAAAAGTATCTCTCTACTTACTGATATGGAAGATGCTGTCATCAGATGCCACGGAGCCTGCCCCGACCGTTTACAACACAACACAACACAACACCCCAGGGCCTGTGGTAGCCCGGCTCGTGGTGACCTTGCTGACTTGCTTCTTGTCCTTTCCTGGGTCTGTGCCCTCCTGGTAACACGTCCAAGTATGTGAGATGAAATCTTTCCATCCTCAATTCTTTTAATAAATCATTTTATTGGGGGCTCTTTCCGCTCTTAGAACAATCCACACACCCATTGTGTCAAGGACATTTGTACATATGTTGCCATTATCCTTTTCAAAATATTTCTTTCTACTTGAGCCCTTGATATCAGCTCCTCTTTTCCCCCTTCCTCTCCTCCCCTCCCATCCTCCCCCTGATAAATGATTATTCTTTTCATATCTTACACTGTCTGCTGTCTCCCTTCACCCATGTTTCTGTTGTTTGTCCCCATGGGGCGTGCTACATGTTGTTTCCTGTTTCTTCCCCCTCCCCCATCTTCTCCTTATCCTCATGATATTTCTGCTCCCTTTACTGTTCCTGAAGGGTTTACCTTGGATTCCGTGTGTCTTATCTGTACCCATGTACATGCTCTGGTCTAGCCAGATGTTAAGGTAGAACTGGGGTCATGATAGTGGGGGAAGGGAAGCATTAAACAACTAGAGGAATGTCATATACTGCACTCTGGCTGGCTCATCCCTTCCTTGTGACCCTTCTGTGAGGGGATGTCCCATTGTCTACAGATGGGCTTTGGGTCTCCACTCCACCCTCCCCCTTGTTCGCATCCAGATGATTGTTTGTTGTGGGTCTTCTGATGCCTGACACCTGATCCCGTTGATACCTGCCATTCTTCAGCCTCAGGAGCATTCTGGTCTTCACAGTTGTTTGCTCTTCTGGTTGTCCACAGTACTTTCAACATTCTCTGCCAAGACCATATAGGTTACACATATAAGAGTATTTTTAAAATTAATCAATTAAACTATGGAGTGAAATGATCTATGTATTAACTCCCAATTAATGATGAATTTTAAAGAATATTTCAAGCACTCCTGAGTGATAGGATTACAAGGGACTTTGATGTTCTTATATTTTAAATCTGCACTTTTAATATCCCTAAAATGAATTTACAATGCATCTGTAGTCATGACGTACGTCCGCTCCTTTCCTCTCAGGACATTAGCCAGCAGTGTAGCAGTGTCTCTCTCCCACTTGCCAATACTCTACCCAGAACTCCACTCTTTGCTGCTCCCTCTTGGTTTCCTGCAACTCTAATTAGGCCTGGTGACGTCACCTTTGACACTTGACCAAAGTCAGCCTTTGGACTTCCGGGGTATGAGTAGAACTTGGACAAAATATAAGCCCAGCTGAGGGTGTGATGAACGAAGGTGCAAAGTTCATTGTGGGGTAGGCAAGGTGAGTCAAACTTATGGAGGGCCCTTTGTGCTCCCAATACCATTGTCATGAGAACATCAACAATGATGTAAGGTAGACTGTTTAACACTTGATGGTTTACGAAGCATTTCTCACCAAACTATTGCAATCTTGTCGGTTGGATTTGTTGTCCTGGTTTTGCGC